TTGTCACTTATATACAGGCTATGTGAGAGTATAATTTGTAGGTATAACACATTTAAAAAAAAAGTTATCTTCATTGGATAGAATTGAATGGTGGTCGCTGATAGGAATAGGGCGTCCTCGATCTCTTATCTCTGTCTCTGACTCTTCTCTCTTTCTCTTTTTCTCTGTCATGAGACTGTGTGTGACAGGGCCACCTGTCTTTAAATTTTTTTTTCTTGACTTTTTTTTATTTTTTAAATTTTTTTTAATTTTTTTTTTTTTTAATGTGTAGGTGCATGTCTTGGGGATTTAAAAATTTCAAGGCTGGTTTACTTATGCAAAGCATGCCTACGTCTGGAATACTTAGGGAAAGAAAGCGACTCCATATTGTCCGAATTCCTCAAGGGACAGGAAAAAAATTGGAGACTGTTGAAATGCAGATTTAAAGTAATTTTTTTTAAATATTATTTTGGGTTCTGCGACATTATCGTGAAAAATTAAAGTTGTTGTGCAATACTTAATTCAGACATGTACCACGAGTTAATGGTAGACTAACACTGGGGGGCGGGGTCTAGGCATCATGCTTTTGTCAGCATACTCTTGAGCTTTTAAGTCTACTATGTCTGAACTGTGGTTTCTTGTTTATCCTTTTTTCCTTAGTTGGACTGTAATGTATGGTCTGTCAACCTGTGAATCTTTAAAGTATGATTCAGGTATTGTTGTATTCTTTACTGTGTAATAAAAAAAAGTTTAAAAAAATCTGTATTCTCTGCCTCCCTTATCCTCAGTGTATGCCATGGCTGTTCTGCACCCCCCGTCCCTCAGGCCCCCCACCTGCCCCACCTCCCCCCCCACCAGCCCCAGCGTGGGGGGGGGTCCATCCTCCCTTGGTGCCAGCCCATCTGTAGCGACCCAGCTGGGACACGTGCCTCACTTAGGCTGTTTGTGATAGGTGTGCAGTCGGAGAGGGTAAGGGGTCGACCTTTGTAAATTAAATAGAAGGGAAGAGACCTCTGCTAAGATGTATTTCCGGGTGAAGTCTCGTTTGCGGGAAATGTGATAGATGAGAGGGGCAAAAGGTATAATAGGCGCTCATCTGAGTTTATGACGTCTGGTGAAGGCGTCAGTGCAGTTAGAAGTGACTGTGCACGCTGGGCCACCTCTCCAGGGAGGTCCCTCCCAAGCTTACCAGGCTCCGGCTCTTGTGTTGCTCAGCTCTCTGGGTGCACCTGAGTGGCACACCCGCTGGAGCGGAGCTGCCCTTGTCCACCACCCTTTTTTAATTAAAAAAAAAAAAAAGCCAATAGTTTCACCCTGGTCTTTGTCCTCTGTTAAGGTTGCCTGTGACAGTCTCCAGCTCCTCCAGGAGGCCAGAGTCTTCCCCTTGGATGTAGGTGTTTTCACATGCTCTAGTTAGAGGTTGGTCAGAGTTTGAAGCCCCAACCCTTGTCGTCCCCCCCCCCCATGATGCCTGCTCATTTTTGTTTGTGGTTTTCAGAACCACAGGATTTTAGTTTTGTTTTGGTTGTGTTTTTGGTTTGGTTTGGCTTGGTTTTTTGTTGTTGTTTTTAGTGATGTATGTACTACACTGTAGCAGCCATTTCCTTTCCCTGTGAACTTTCTCACCTTCATGGGCCCAAAAAATAGTTGCAAAGGACAGGAAGACCGATCCTGGGCAAAAGGCCGTGTCGGGACAGAGGGCGTTAAGGTCGATGGGGGGGCGGGGGGGGGCGGTGGCTTGGGACCATCCATTCAGCTTCCTCCGTGTACCAGCTGGGCTCCTGTCCCAGGGCCTGGCTTCTCCAACTGGTCTTCCTGGGAAATGTGACTTTTTTTCTCACCTTTCTAACTCTAGAAACTGGAAACAGATAGTTGAATAAGTCCTGGACACCTCGAAACCCTCTCATTTGCAATAAGGGCAAGACTGAATGATTTATTTTCACAAAAGACAAGCTGGCCTGACCTCAGTTGCCTATCCTTTAATGTGTTCATGTCTCTTTTTCTCTCTCTCTCTCTCTCTTTTTCTGGAACAGGCCAGAAACTAGCAGACGAGGACAGAAATGGGACGCACTGAAGTAATTCCCTTATAAGTAGTTCTTGAAAACACCTCTGTGACATTTTCGTGCAAATGGATATGTTGGGCAAAATGAGAAATGCTTTGTAGTTTGTATGAAAAATATGAACAAATCCAGAGACTTTCAGGGGGTGAACCTCATTTTTCCTAGAAGTGTTAATGATGTATTGATACCATAAAAGAATGTGTCTGCCGTGAAAGAACATACAGCTATTTCTCTGCAATGGGTGGGGAGGGAATGAGCCCAGGGGCGCTGTGCTGTGTGGGTGTACATACCCTTACCCCAAGGTGAAGAAATAAAGTTGTGTTTGCTCAAATCTGTCCCTGGTCAGTCTGTTCTGAGTCATACTGGGGAAACTGAGACAGACAAATGCAGACAGTGGTTTTCTTTCCCCTCCCCCCATCTCACCTCTCCATCCATATAAGCAGAGCTGCGGGGCCAAGCTA